ACATACATACATACATACATGCGGTAACCCGGAATGTTAAGGCTTGCAGCGTCGAAGGACCAGCTGAAAGCGCTGGATAAAGAACTTGTTCGGCTGAACCCTGAACTGAGGGTAGCCTGCAAATCTTCTCACATCGTCCCAGGGCGACAGCGCGCATGGAAGCCTCCGTTTCTTGAGGTTGAGTCGAGATGGGATGGGATGCGCAAGATTCTCGCAAGCCGTTTCTTCCAGCTCCACAATCACAAGCCGTTGCCACCAACATGCAAACACGAAAACTGGGATGTGAACCCAAAAAACTCATGGATGCAGCGGAACAGGAGCGACAAGCATGCCATCAATAAAACTTAAGGCTGCTCACATCCGGGTTGCGAGTATGCGTACTTGCTTGCCCCTTGCCACACATTCTCCCCAACGGAAAGGCGAAGCACCCAGTTCCAGCTTTAAGCAGAGTATGCTCACACTGCGGGTTTGTTGTGCCGAAATTCAACAGTCTTGTGGGAGGTTCAGCTGCGGCAAGAATTCTATGATCGTTGCTCGTCATGTTATTATTCTTGCTCCGGCGGCTGCTGCTCCTGACAGCCGGATATCTCTTCGACGCACATCTGCTGCTGTGGCCACTGCTCTTGCGGTTGCGATTGTTGTCCTACTGTTGTGATCCAAGCGGTGGTGTTGGTGGGCAATCGGGCGGTGGTGCTGCCACTGCGCTGGTGCTGATGCTGCCCTTGTTCTTAGTTGCGTCTACTTCAAGTCTTTCTCGGAACTTCGCACCTCCGTCTCATCGCGCAGTCCAGCCTGCTGGCGTCATTAGAACGGGTTTTCCCAAACTCAGGATCTCTTTTGAACTATCTCGGACTATTATTTCGGGCTTGAAACTGAAGGTCTAGTAACTTGGGTTGCGCTGATTTCGGGAAGGTCCGACGGGAGCGACCTAGCATGCTACGTTCCCGACGACAGAGTGTGGTGCACAGCGAAACAAGCCAACTTGTGCTGAAGGCGCAGAACGCATAGAAAAGATGAATGCGCGGTACTCTACAGCCCAAACGCCCTAGGCCCTATACGAAGGGACCCACGCGCACAGCGGCCTGGCGAAAGTAGACCGGCGCCAGCGTATTCCAGGTGAGCACGCTGAAGGTCGAACTAGCACCTCTCCATAAACGCACGAGCCGAGCAGTCACATGGGAGTATATGTATACCCATAATTCCATGGCCCTAAACCCTAAGCTCCTAAACTCCCTCAACCCCAAATCCCATAACTCCAAACCGAACAACTTTGGTCTCGATGCCTTCTTGGCACTCCTGCTGTGGATTGAAATATGCGTATGATCCTTGATATCGTGAAATACTCGGCCAAGCCTCGTTCCTGCCCTTATATGGGTAGTTCTCTAAATTAGGGTCCCTTTTGGGTCCCCAATATAGTACGGCACCATTATACACAGGACCCAAAAGGGGACCCAAATTTAGAAAACTACCCATATGACATCCAGCCTGCCATCGCGACGGATGTCCACAGGCGGGTGCGCCTGCGAATACACTGCTTTCACACACTGCGTACACACATCCAAAACGAACGAATACAAAAGGACTGTGCATGTACCGGAGCATGTAAGCAAATATGCATCATGGTGTGTGGAGAGGTGACCCTCACTGACAGAGAATGGAGAAGGCCAACAACATGTCGTTGCAAACACACGAACAAACACGGAATTGCCGACAAATCGACAAACACATGCCAAACAGGATTTAGGGGTATGTCATGGAACATGCCAGAGTCGGCTGGAAGTGGGTGCCACACACACACACACACCGGCTGTACTTAGAGCTAAGGTGTAGCTACATGTCCCAGCTCTGCCGAGAGAGAAGACTCGATCCGTGATATCGTCTGGACATAGAGGCCACGCTGTGGCAACAAAAGCAATATAGGGGCCTAAATCATTCCGTATACTATTTTGGGGGGGGTTCCTTTTTTAAAACTATAGTATAGTGGGCCCCAAAACCCCATTCTAATCATTAAGGCTTCTACAGTATGCGATGTCAACCGAAGCAAGAACAGCAAGGTGGAAGGGCCGGCATCTGCAAATGCAATTAGCTCTGCAATGAATTCAGTGGCAGGCCTTGACAAAGGCCCACTGCCGCGCATGCACGTGACATGGCACAGCCAGGCCGGCACGCTTAAGGCAGCAAGTATGCCAAGGAGGGATCTGAGGTATGCCGTTGTGCTTGACGGCGAGCATGATTCTCATGATTGTCGGCACTGCTACGTCGCGAGCACGACCGCACGATCACGACTGCTACTCCGGCGTTTGTTGCTGCCGCTTCTCCTACGTCCTACTGCTACTATTCCGCTCCTGCTGCTGTTGCTGCTGCTACTGCTGCTGCTGCCGCCTTCCGCTACTAAGTCCGCTACTACCACCAGCACTACCACTCCAATAGCAATACGACGCTTACTACTTGTTGCTGCAGGGGTGAGACTCGCTAACAATCTGATGGCACGTTCGCGCACCAAGAATGCTATTAATGTTGTCACGACATGCGTGATAGTCATACTGCTCAGGTACTATGCCTTCTCTATCTCACCAGCTCAGGCTCTAGGATTTCGAGCTGTGGGCCACAGTGATTTTCGACTGCACGATTCAAAGCCGTGGGGCGGTTTGGACATTTGGGCTCGGGCAGGTGAATTCATGGCATAGTGTTTTGGTTTAAGATACCGTTCGGCTTTCACTGTCTTCGTGGTTAGGCTATCGGACTGCTGCTTGCATCCCATGCACGAGAATCGCCGCGCTCATGTGCTCTTGTCAAGGTCATGTGTCTGCTTTTCCTTCCCAGTGATATTCGTTACACTTTACACTATGATTACTTTTGGTACCATTCTACCTGCATTGCTGCCCCCTTGCTTATTCCACAGGAGCAAAGGTTGACGCAACATCTGGCTGACAGCTCTCTGCCTCACTTCTAGCTCGACTTTGCTTTCAGAGTGGACTGGATGCAGAACACACTTGCATCGGAAGATGTACGAACAATTGGTTGTGCAGAGCGGTGTCGTGAAGAATCGAGAATTGCACCCGCCTCTTTCTTAGGCTCACCCTGGTTCTGTGACAAGTCAGGCTGGGTTGGCCAAGAAGTCGAGTGCATAAGCTTCTGCACATGGAGCCGAGATTTTTCTCAGCAACAGAAATCCCGGAATTAACAACCTCAGGCCGTAACACCACCAGACCAGACCAGAAAACAGCGCAAACCCCACAAAATCGCCGTGACGGCATACGTTGGCCGCCTTGAATTCACATGCTCTCTTGGAGGTTGATGGGTAGTTATAACGGTTATAAGTAATGCCGCTATAGTTATAGCATCTTCTAACCCGTGTTAGGTTAGTAGGGGACCGATAACCCTACTTATAACGACCCGTAACTGCCGTAACTACCCATGAACCCTTTTAAGCCCTAAGCCCCAAACTCATATCAGGGGACTTGGACCTAT